GCCACCGTTGGTCGGCCCCCTGGAGTCGGCGGCCATTCCTCCTCCATGGCTCCTCTCTCCGTCGGCTCCACCGTGGGTCGCCATTATGGCTGTGGCCTAGGTCCCACCTGGCGCCGTATGCTCCAAGTCCCTCCTGTCGTCTCCCTGGCTCCTTCCTTTGTCCGATCCGCCCTGGTTCCTCCTGTTTCATCCTTGGCTCCTCCCTCCATCGTCACCTCCCTGGACTCTGTCTGCTGGCCCCCTCCTGGGTGTCTGTCCTCCTCCTGAGCCTCCTCCTAAGTTCCCACCCATCCCTCCTTCTGATGTTTCTTCGGCGCGAGGACGCGCCTTCCGGGAGGGGGGCGATATGTCAGGATTTTGGGCTGTCTGTGTGTGTTTTGCTCCCCACAGGCTCCCCTTGACCTAGTTTTTCCTCGTGTGTTCATGCCCATATTTGGTCTTTCCTGTTCCTGTTCCCATTGTGTTTCATTTATTCCAGGTGTGTCTCATCAACCCCTCGTTTAGTTGATTATTTAAGAGTGTTCTGTTCCATTGTCCGGTGTCTAATGTCTTCTGGTTCCCTGTGTTTGTGCTACGTGGATTCCTTTGGATAATCATTAAAGACTGTTATTTGAGTTTATTCCTACGTCTTCTCGTTCTTTGCTCCACGCCGTAGCAGCAAGCGTGACAGCTAAGACCTTCAACAAACATTGTACTTTCCAAAAAGTTATTTAAGTCTGTGTTATTTTAGTACCATGATAGTTTTTGTTAATATTTTGAATTAGAATATTTCTGTTTTCATTTGAAGTTTTTGTAATTTTTATGTTTTGTTTTTTACTGTCTATAGTTTTAGCCTTGGTTTATTTCATTTTAGTTATTTTATAAACTTTAAAGTAACATTTTTGCTTTTACACTTCAAAATGACTCTGTTTACTTAGTGCACCTTTATGTTTTCCGATTTGAATTGGATTTGGACTCTTACTTGACTCCGTAGGCGAGAATGATCAGTCCAATCAGAACCCCGATAGTCCCGTCCAGGTACCAGACGCTAGGTTCGTGTTTGAACACCTCAGCGCTGATGAGGATGGAGAATCCCATGACGGCGCCAACTAGAGAGTTAAAACCTGCAAATGAATAATTACGCACATGTAAAAAAACATCGGAAAGAGCAGCGTGAACGTTCTGCTAAATGTCTACTTTTGTGTTCCACAGAAAAAAATTTATTCATACAGGTTTGGAATGACATGGGGATAAATAAATTGACAACAGTGTTTTTTGATTAAACTTTTGAACTTTTTGAAGCTGAACTTGCCAATTAAAATTGAGGCATCAAAAACATTCTCTTTTTACTTGAAAAAAGTTATTTTTTAGCTAAAATTTAAAAAAGTTTTTAGCTAAACGTACAAATGAAACAAAAAATTTTTTTGTTTTGTTTTTTTGATAATCTTACTAAGCTTACTAATTAAATATGAGACATCAGAAATGTTGGTTACACTTTATTTTACAGTACGTGAACTTACAGTAACTTACCCAAGAAAGGTACTGGGCAGTATAAAGTAACTACATGGTATAAAGTTAGGTTTAGGGATAGGTTCAGGGTTAGTACCTACTGCAGTTATTACCCAGTTATTGCAATTGCTATAATAATTACATAGTATGTACACATGGAACAGGACTGTAAAATAAAGTGCTACCGAAATGTTTCTTTATCTTTACAGATTATAAATCATTGTATTTTGAGATGACTAGTAATTGTGTGCTAACTAGCTGGTGCAGCAGTAGTAGATGTTTGGACAGCTGGTGAATTTCACACACCTGGTTTAGCTGGCGTGTGATTCGCTCATTTACGATGGGTGTGTGTTTGTGCTACTGGAACACTTGGTGCACACACCTGGTTTAGCTGGCGTGTGATTCGCTCATTTACGATGGGTGTGTGTTTGTGCTACTGGAACACTTGGTGCACACACCTGGTTTAGCTGGCGTGTGATTCGCTCATTCACGATGGGTGTGTGTTTGTGCTACTGGAACACTTGGTGTACACAGATGAGTGCTGGTTGACATTAGCGATTACTATCAGACCGTGTGTTTGTGTGTGATATAAATGAATTCCAGGTAAACATGTCAAAATACTTTGCACTGTTTTAAAGTTTAACACTTAAGTGTATAAATAAAGATTATTGGAGTACGTTTTACAAGAAAATATTTCAATTTTCTAAATCAAAATTTCATGTTTAATTCTACTTTAATTCTCATTTCTTTGTAGTTATTTGAAACTAATTTCACCCAGAAATTAGTAAAATACTTTTTTTTTTTTTTAAATGCTCTTTTTTGGCTAAACTTTATAACTTTTTAGCCAAACATACTAATTAAACATAAGACATCCAAATAAATAAATAAATTAGCTAAACTTTAACTTTTTTTTAGCTAAACTGACTAAACATGAGACATTAAAAAAATTAGTTAAGCTTTCTTTTTTTTAACTAAACTTACTCATTGAACATAAGACATTTAAAAATATATATTTTAGCTTTTTTTTTTTAGCTAAACTTACTTATTAAACGTTCATTAGCTCAACTTTTTAACTTTATAGCAAAACCTTTTAAACATGAGATATAAAAAATATATATTTTAGTTAAACTTAACCAAAACTTACTAATTAAACTAAACTTAAGTAAACAAGGCATCAAAAGGCTCTTTTTAGCTAAAATGAGTAATTAATCATAAGACATCAAAAATGCTCTTTATTAGCTCAACTTTTAACCTCTTTAGCTAAACTTACTAAACATGAGACATCAAAAATATGTTTTTAATTAAACTAAACTTCCTAATTACAGACTGCATCAGAGATGTTCTTTTTTTTAGCTAAACTTTTTAACTTTTTAGCTAAACTTACAAATTAAACATGATTTCATAAACAAATTTCATATTTAATTCTACTTGCTGTTTTCAATCAGAAAACAGCAAGTAGAAAACTAGTCAATTTCACAAAGAAAATCCTACAACTTTTTTTTTCAGTGTGATTTTAAAGAAGTTGCAAGTTTGGTCAGTTAGAAAAGTACTAGCACACCTTTTCTCAATTAGCCACATGATTTAATTTTAACTCTGTGTGTGTGTGTGTGTGTGTGTGTTTGTGTGTATACGTCCATCTGTGCGGATATGTCTGTCTCTGCACCCTCCATCTGCTCGTCTGTCTATCTACTCGTCTGTCGTCTTTTCTTTTTCAGTATTTTGAATTTTCTTTTATATTACCAAATGAAAATGCCATAAAAGTAGCCTCTACTATTTTTGAGTTGTATTTTAAGTCATCTGAAGTCATAAAAACATATTTGTTGTCATTTTTGGAGCTTGACCATCTTTCCATCTTTCAGTATATGGAAAAGAGCACATTCTGCTAAACATCTCATGTTTCACAGAAAGGAAACTGTTTGGAACGATTTTTGTAACAAACTTAACATCTGTAATGTGATGTCTAAAGCGTTAATGTTTTGAAAGTAATATTATTTTTGGGAATTGGTTTATTAAGCCAAATATAGTTCAGGTGTGGAATCCTGCTTCTTCCGGCTGGTCGGAAATCAAAATGGGAGGAGCTAAGGTGAAATCAGACCGGACACGTTGCCACGGCACTGTGAATAATAAAGCAGGCTGGCATATCACCACGGTAACCCGGTGGGTTTCCGGGGAAACGTACCGTCGGTGATGAGAGCCCTGCTGGTGAGGACTTTCCCCAGCATGAACTTACAGACGGACAGAATGGCACACACCACCCCGCTGATAACCGAGACGCTGTACAGGAAGTCATCCTGGAGGAAGAGAAAGAGAGAGACGTTATCATACTGAGCACAACGTGACGTTCATAGCGGTCAACTGCACTGTTTTATTCAACAGCAATTCATACTGATATTGACACGCTGTACTGGAAATCAAGGGAGTGTTTAGAATAGAATAGCAAACTCTGTGTAGTATATATACTGTATACTGTGTATTGTTTTTAAATAGGCAACTGTAAGCATTTCAAATACTGTAGTAGTATGCTACACTGTTGTCACAACCTCGTTACAGTGAGTTTAGTATAGTATTTTTGCATTCAAATTTGGGTAAAAATGTAAATTTTGATCAAATAATAAGTCACGTTATATTCTAAATAACATACTACCATAATATTCTTACTATTTCTGCAGTATATAGTATGTAGGCTGTGCACTCGCTGAAGTTAACATTTTGATGTGTTCTGATACTAATGTAGCGTGCTATCGTTTGAAGTGTTTAGCACTTTATAAATACAGTATACACTGCGTAAATACAGTCTAGTATGCGGGTACGTAGTATGTTAGTGGAATGGCATAGTTTGAAACTACGCAGTATGTGAAATTAAGCATTTCAAACTGTAGAATACTAAATTGTTTAATCATTTTATGCATAAAAAAGCATACTGTGCACTTGCTGAAGTAAACAAACCAGGTAATGAGGTTTAATGACAATGTAGCATGTATTGTTTGAAGAGTTACTGCTACATTTCTAACTGTAGAATACTAAATTGTTTTCACATGACCTCATGAAGTGTATGTACAAACATTTATACACTGCACACTTGAAATTAACATTCAAGGTAATGAGGTTTATTAACAATGAGCATACTACTGTTTGAAATGTTTCTTATTGCATAAATACAGAATGTGCTGTCTAGTATGCAGTGTGTAGTATCACTAGCAGAATGGAATATCAGTATACTATTATATTGTTTCTTGTTTTATAATGTGTGATACAGTACACAGTATGCAACAGTAAACATTTTAAACTGTAGCATGCTAAATTATCACAATCCACACATAGAAAAAAACACATACTGCACACTTGCTGAAGTAAACATGCACAATAATGTTTTTTGACAAACTACGGAAATTTATACCGCTGCATAATCAATGCTGTTTCAGTATCACCTTATTTTTTCCGAAAGAGCAGGCGCAGCCATTTGTAAATTTAAAGGGTCTGGCTTCCGGTCTCATCCGCCCAGCTATTTTCAGCTGTACAAACCAGCTTGTTTTGCTGCTTTATATTGCGAACTGGTGTGTCTTACCATATTATTTTAATTTATTATCTTAATTATGAACACTGGTTTGTAGTGCAAACTGTTTAACCATTTACTGCACGTTGTTATTCTTCTCTTTATTTCCCTACAGGGGCTAATGAACCAGAAGTCTCGCACATTCACAGAAAACGGCTTACTTCCACGTTGAAGAATAAGGTGGATACAGTATATATCATGGAGTATGCAGTAAGTGGTATGCTAGCATTCTGGACATAAAGTATGTTCAGAATAGAATACTAGCATGTAGCAGAAGTGTTTCAATTAGTAGCATACTAAATTGTTGTCACATGACATCAAGTGAAACATGCACTTAATGATGTATGCTACTAATTGAAACACTTCTGCTGCATGCTAGTATTCTATTCTGAACATACTTTGATATCACTTATGAATAAAAAATTTGCATACTGCACACTTGCTGAAGTAAACATGCACAGTAATTAATTTTTTTGACAATAATGTAGCATACTACTGTTAATACATACTGTGCTTTATGCAGTTAGTAGTATGCTAGTATTCCAAACATAGCCAAAGTTATGGGCTCTATTCAGAATAGAATACTAGCATACTGTTTCCTAATTAAAAAAACAATAGTTTCAGTATGCAACAGTAAAGAGTTCAAACAGGTGCATACTAAATAGTCATATTCTTCTATGCATAAAAAATTACACTACAATATTATTGTACTTTTTCCTATTAAAAAAGTGAGTATGCAACATTAAACATTTCAAACAGTAGCACACTAAATTGTCACATGACCTCATTAAGTTCATGTTTCCAGGTATGCATGCGAAAATGTGCATACTTCACACTTGCTGAAGTAAAAATAATGTAGCATACTAATATTTGAAATGTCTGTTGCTGCGTAATACATACTATTTCAGTATATACTGTGCAATAGGTACAGTAGATAGCTAATATTTCAAAGACAGCCAAAGTTAGGCTATGTTCTGAATGGAGTACTACCATACTGTTTCCTATTTATAAAAACAGTATGCAGTATGCAATAATCATTTCAAACAGTAGCATACTAAATTGTCAAATGGCCTCATTGCAGTCATGTTACAAGTGCATGATTACAGCTATCCTATGCATACAAAACTTTTAATAATGCACACTTGCTGAAGTAAACATGCAAAGTAATGAGGTCTTTTAATGATAATGTAATATACTATTGTTTTAAATGTCGCTGCATAATACATACTATTTCAGTATACAGTGTATACTGCTCAGTATGCAGTAAATAGTATGCTAGTATTCTGAACCAGTCCAAACCTGGGTATTCCACACATGTAAGTAAGTATAGTATGCATAATGCAAATCTAGTATGTGAAGTAACTATGGATATGTTAAAAAGAAAGCAATATGAATGGAAATAAGGAGTGCAGAGGTGAAAGAGACAATGGAAGGATGCAAAAAAAAAAAGATGAATAAAGTGGCGAGTTGCCTTCTCAGCCCGAGCAGAATCATTAAAATTGCGTGCTGGCCTTGCAGATGTGAAAAAAATGCAACGCTGCAAGGTTCCCAGTATCAAAAATAACGTCCAACACAAACACACAGACAGACACAAACGGACAGTCAATGCATCATCTGTTCCCTCCACATAAAATGCTATGATGGATCTTCTGGTGAGAGAAGCTCATCAATATTGATGTCAGGCAGGTGAAGAAAGCAGAAAACAATGAGGTTTGTGTCTCGCGGATAGTGTCGAACAACGCTAACCCTCCCTGGAGAGTTAAAAACAACCTCATGCCCTCGCATTTATCACAAACGCTGTCTGCCTGCCCGCAAACATCCCACAACGTCTCTCTCAGAAACATCTCTGATCATCCATCTCATCTCTGCCATGAATCAGACGGGGAATTGATAATAATTTGATCATAATTTTTTATGGTTGTGTGTCTTGTGTGTAGTTCCGACCACAGGACCATAAAATTATGTAAACATCATTATTTAGGGCTGTATTTTTTGTGTCATTTAGTCACTTACTTAACTGATTTTGTTTTAATCTAGTAGGTTTATGACAGGAAGTGCAAATGGCGCAGATGGGACTATTCAGTGGAAGATTGTTGTATTGATTTTATAGCACCTGAAAACCAGTCGATCTTTCTCAGAAATGCACACATGGGATTGCGAAAGGGGGCAGTCCATTTCAAACACCTTGTTCAGAACATCCTATTAACATTTCATTAGAGAGCAAAAGACCATGAGAGAGAGAGTATGTGAGAAAAAATAAGAGAGAGAAAAGAAGGAGGGAAGTGTTTCTATTTTTAGGTGGAGCTTGTATGCGCCAAAACCCAGCTTTACACGCTGAGACAGGAACAGGAATCCTCCATAGAGAAGCCAGAGTCCTGATTAAAACATCAGCACAGACTCTCTCTCTCTCTCTCTCTCTCTCTTTCTCTTTCTCTCTGTCTCCTTTCTGGTTATCGTCTTCTCAATTACACCCTAATTTTGTTTGCTAAGCTTTTAAAAATAAAGGTTCTAAAAAGGTTTACAGTCTCATGCCTTATGAGAAAATTACATGATAAAACCTTTTTAGTTCTCATTACGTCATAATAGAACCTTCTTAAGTTCCCATGAGTTTTTGAATTCTCATGATGCCATAAGAGAACCTTTTTTTTAAATTTCCCATTATGTCATCGTAGAATTTTGTTGTTGTTGTTATTTTGACATTGTATAACCTTTTTCAGTTGTCAATGCCATCGTAGAAGCTTTTTTTTGTAGTTTATGTCATCGTAAAAACTTTTTTAGTTCTTAGGTCATCGTAGAACTTTTTAAAGTGTTCGTTATGTCATCGTAGAAACGTTTAAATTTTAGGTAATCATAGCAGCTTTTTTTAGTTTTTGTTATGTCATCATAGAAGCTTTTTTAAGTTCTTAGGTCATCATATAACCTTTTTTAGTTTTCGCTATGTCATCGTAGAAGCTTTTAATTCTAGGTCATGGTAGAAAATTTTTTACTTTTCGTTATGCCATTGTAGAAACTTTTTTAATTTTAGGTCATCAATAAACCTTTTTCAGTTTTCGTTATGTCATCAGAGCCTTTTATCTATTATATCATCATAGAAACTTTTCATTCTTATGTCATCGTAGAACCTTTTTAGTTGTCAATATGTCATTGTGGAACCTTTTTTAGTTTTCGTTATGTCATCATAGAAACTTTTTTAGTTCTTAGGTCATCGTAGAAAATTTTTTAGTTTTCGTTGTCATCATAGAAACTTTTTTAATTTTAGGTTATTGTAGAAAATTTTTTTAGTTTCCGTTATGTCATCATAGAAACATTTTTAGTTTTAAGGTCATCATAGAAAATTTTTTTTGTTTTCATTATGTCATCGTAGAAACATTTTTAGTTTTAAGGTCATCATAGAACATTTTTTTTGTTTTCGTTATGTCATCGTAGAAACATTTTTAGTTTTAAGGTCATCATAGAACATTTTTTTTGTTTTCGTTATGTCATCGTAGAAACGTTTTAATTTTAGATCATCATAGAACCTTTTTTAGTTTTCATTATATCATCAGAGATACCTTTCAGCTATATCATCGTAGAAACTTTTAATTCTTATGTCATCGTAGAACCTTTTTTAGTTGTCAATATGTCATTGTAGAACTTTTTTGAGTTTTCGTTGTCATCTTAGAATCTTTTTTTTTTTTAATAATAGCACTGGTTCTTTAGAGCATCTATGTACTGATGTTTCTAGAACCCAAGAGGGGTTCATTTGTAAAACAAGTAGCAAGACTTGACACAAAGTTCATAATGTGATTGCTTTGATTGGTTCTTGATTGAAAAGAGGATTATTTCCTTTCCTTCAAGTAATGTACAGTAGCAGTGGAGTCTTTACACCACAGAGGCAGTACCAGACCAAGGCTTTCAGTGTCTCGTTTCATCACAGGAAGACGGATGGAGAGCTAGATTGAGAGAGAGAGCGAGTGATAGTAGAGGGGTACTGAAGAACTGGTTTAGGGGAAACTATTTCCCCTCTTCATGTTGCCTGGCAACAGTGATATCAGACTATTCTAATCTCGTCTGTGACTTCACACCTTGTCTCCGTCGTGTTCATTCAGCTTTACACTTCTGCTGTTTAGCAGGCGCCGTTAGTTCCAGCCGAGGGAGAACTCACTCAACCGACGACATGAAAAGATAGTGTTGTGTTTGTGTGTGGCATCCTTCACCTGACAGACTCTTGAATGGAGTTTACAGTCAATAAAATGCCAGCGGGGAAATAAGATATGAGAGTACGGAAGCTTAGAGCAAATAAACACGAAAATATATTTAGAAAATGACAGAATCAAATCAGCTTAGAAAATAACATAACAGTTGTTTGCGACAATCAATAAGTGAATCAGGTGAAAAGCCAAGAACAATCAATCAGTCAACCAATCCAATGAATTAATGAATCAGTGTGTGAGTGAATGAAAAAAGAATGAATCAATGGAGCAATCAATCAACCAGCCAATTAATGAATCAGTGAGTGAATAAACAAACAAACAAATGAATGAATCAACCATTGGAAAAATCAATCAGCCAATTCAATGAATAAATTAGTGAGAGAATAAACAAACAAATCAATGAATCAACCAATCCAATAAATAAATCAGTTAGTAAATGAACAAAAATACAAATTAATGAATCAACCACTGGATCAATCAGTCACTAATCAAACGAATGAGTCGGTGAGTAAATAAAAATAAAATAAAATAAAAATAAAAAATAGGAATGAATCAAGTACTGGATCAATCAGTCAGCAATCAAACGAATGAATCAGTGAGTAAATGAACAAACAAACAAACGAATGAATCAACAACAGGTAACAACCAACCAATGCAAAGAAGAAATCAGTGAGCGAATGAACAAACCAAATGAATCAAACAACCACTGGAACTATCAATCAACCAATCCAATGAATGAATCAGTAAGTGAATGAACAAACAAATGAATCAACCACTGAAATAATCAATCAACCAATGCAATGAATAGATCAATGAGTCAGTGAATTAACAAATGAATCAACCAACCAAATAAGATGCTGAATTATGTGTTAGCTGTTTTCTTACCACTTCTGGTTGCAGTTTTGTGGCAAGATCATGGATCGCTTTCACCAGGATAGTGATGGCCGACAAGATGAACACGACTCCGAGGATGGCACACGCTCTGGAAAACACACAAGGTACATTGAGTAAACCACAACATCAATCCAACTGATGCTTTATTGAGTTCACGGTCTGATTCACTTAATAAAACACAACTCTGAAGCTTCTGCTTGCTTTAGTATCTCGTTCTTATTAGGCCTGTCAAGCCCTGCGTTTATAAATGAAGGCGGCGGGGGCTGTAGTTGTCTAATCAAGCCTGGTTAATAGGCGCAGGCATCTGTTCCACTATTTACTCTGCCGCAGGGGTAGGCCTAGTTGGGGTGAAATCTGGTGAAGTTTTAGGGCCTTTCTGCTCTATTTCTTACACGGGGATCATAACGGGTTTAGCAAGCTTAGTCCGTTAAGTCTGTGTTTTGGTTAGTGATTAATTAATCAAACCAAACAAACACACCCAGCTAGATACAGTCTCGGGAGATCAAATTAAAATGAAATTAAGACATGCAGATTAATTTAATCTAGTTTATCTCATAAAATCAGGCCAAGGAGGAACCCCGCTGATGCTGGAGAGATGTTTGTTTGATGGGTTTGATCATGTCTGGTTTGATAGTCCATTCAATTTAATATTTAGTGTGTTAGAAATATTTTTATCAATACAAACATACATTAAAAATTCTATCTATTTTCAATCTGAAAAGTTGTGATTTTAATTAGAAAGTTAACAAAACATATTTATTCTTTGAGGTTCTGATTGACAATCAAAATGCTATTTGCAAGCTAATTTGTGTGTGTGAGTTAACCTTACTAACCACTTAGCAACTCCCTAAGAACTACTCAGAACACCCCAATAATGCCCTATTGACTACACAGAACACACTGACATCCACCTAGCAACCACCTAGCTATGCCCTAGAAACCATGCAGAACAAACTAGCAGCCACTCAAAACACCCTAGCAACACTAGCTACCTACTGTAGCAATGCCCTAGAAAAAAAAGAAAAAAAAAAGTCAAGTGACGTGACCCATACTCGGAATTTGTGCTCTGCATTTAACCCATCCGAGTGTACACACACACAGAGCAGGGGGCAGCCTCGAACCCGCGAGCTAAGACTCGAACCCTCAACGTTTGGGTTACAAGTCCAACTCTCTAACCATTAGGCCACGACTGCCCCATGCAAAACACAATAGCATCACCCTAGCAACCACCTACTGTAGCAATGCCCTAGAAACCACTCAGAACATAATAGCATCACCCTAGCAACCACTCAGAACACCCTAGCAACCACTCATATATGAATCGAGATTCTGTCTTCTAACGATTCTAATGGATTCTCAAGTTTCAAAATCAATGTTCTAAAGCAGCAGTTCTTAATACTGTTCCTCGCGTCCCCCTGCTCTACATGCTCTGCATCTCTCTCTCTCTCTTTCTCATTCAGCTCAGCTCCAAAAATTAATTGTTACAATTATACACGTATTTTCACATAGCTATGAGAAGCGTTATACATGGACGCGAGTGCAGTTGCCGTACTGTATTAAAGCTTTAATCAGGATAAAACCGTATATTAAAGCTAACATAAGCAGTAGCATTTACAAATAACAGCATATCTAAAAGTATGAGGCAACAACAAACAAAAAACATAGGCCTACTGACCCATACTCGGAATTTGTGCTCTGCATTTAACCCATCCGAGTGTACACACACACAGAGCAGGGGGCAGCCTCGAACCCGCGAGCTAAGACTCGAACCCTCAACGTTTGGGTTACAAGTCCAACTCTCTAACCATTAGGCCACGACTGCCCCATGCAAAACACAATAGCATCACCCTAGCAACCACCTACTGTAGCAATGCCCTAGAAACCACTCAGAACATAATAGCATCACCCTAGCAACCACTCAGAACACCCTAGCAACCACCTACTGTAGCATTGCCCTACAAACCATGCAGAATGCACTAACATCTACCTAGCAATGCCCTAGCAACCAGTCAGAACACTTTAGTAACCACATATAGCCACTCTATAGGAATCACTCAGCACAAACTAACAACCACCCAGCGAAATCTCGCGTAGCATCGCACTGATTTTTGCACTCACATTTTCTTTAAAGGGGTGGTTGATTGCGATTTCACTTTTTTAACGTTAGTAAGTGTGTAATGTTGCTGTTTGAGCATAAACAATATCCGCAAAGTTAGGAAGCTGAAAGTTCAATGCAAACGGAGATATCGTCTTTCAGAGTGGTGTGGAATAAAGGTAAATTATGTGAAAAATAATGCGTTTTTTTTTAAACTAAGCATTAACACATGTTAGACTGCACCCCATAAACACATTCAAGCCTAGAAAAAAAAACTGTGAACCACCCCTTTAAAAACTGCTGTGGTAAATCATTATTCTCAAATGGTTTTACTCTTTATGAGTCTGGAGTCCAGTGGATATGTCATCTTGCTAATGCAGCCCACGTTATGATGTAATCTGTCTCCACGGCAATCCACATCCCCGCAGATTCCCCCAGAGACCCATGGCTTCATGGCACATTACAAACGGAGTCATTAATGTGTGTGTCTGCACAGTACTATCTAGTCGGCTGATGCAACCACGCTTCTGCCTTTGTCCTGTGTCTCTCTTTCTCTGCTTCCTGTTCTTTCTTTCCGTTCACAAAGCCCTCCCGCCCTTTCGCCATCTCTATTCTGTCCTTCAGCCGATAATGGACGCCGAACACAGAAAGAGACTGTCTAAAGACCCTCTTTAGACATGAAACCCAGAGCGGGGCCACTTCCTGTGGGACCGGAGAGTCTGTCTGCCTGGCCTCCATCCATCAAAGCTGGTGGTCTTTAGAAAACGTTAACCTGCTTAGGTAAATTACACTAATTTTGTCTTAAAGATACAGCACATCTGAAAACATGATCATTTTAACGACCACTATTTGGTTAGATAATTAGTTGTGCGTCTCGTTTGACCACAAAACGCCCACTAATGTTCTCCTTCAGCATGTCAAAATCTCAACATCGTTACCTTGAAAGATCAGTCTAACCTTCTGCTCTCCTTGTTGCCCAGAAACGATGTCTAATTGGCTACTGACACTACTCAGAATCCCCCGCAGAGCACAAACTATACCACGTCCCCCATGTTTGCTTTAATAGAGGAAGGATCACATGTACTCACATGTATTCTCTGTGTGCTGAATGGACAGCCGCCGCATTACTGTATCGCCAAATCACGATTATGGAGGACAGGACATCCAGAATGGCATCAAACTGCAAACAAATGAACCACACTGATGAAGTGAAGCATTAAAGCATTAAAGACTGTGAAATAATGACCATTTAATGATATGAAGTGTTCACATACTTACAGCAAACCCAAACGCTGATGCACTATGCCGCATTATAGAAACAGCTACAAAAGAAAAGAGGAAAAGTTCGTTCAAATGAAAATTATTTCAACTTAAAATGTTTTATTTTTTATTTTAAATGAATTAATACATTTTACCATTTTAAACTTTCAAACTTTAATTGTGAAGTGTTTAAATAATGAATTAATAATGAATTTTTTACCTTTAAAACAGTTCATTAGTTGGAAAATTTTTAAATGTGTAGTGTTTAATTTTTGTATATTTTTTATTTAAAAATAATAAATACATACAAAAATAAAAAGAGAGTTCATAAGTTGGAAAAACTGTAAATGTGAAGCGTTTAATTTTACAAAATATTGTTTTTAATTAATTCATTAATTAACTATCAAATTAATAAATAAACTATCTTTTAAATTAAATAATTAAGTTTAATTAAGTTTAATTAAATTAAATAATTAATTAAGTTTAAGTTTATTAGTTGAACAAACTTTAAATGTGAAGTGTTTAATTTTTTTTAAATATTGTTATATTTAAACAAACAAACAAATACATACAGATAAACTTTAAATGTGGAGTGTTTTTTTTATATTTTTTAAATAAATTAATACATTTTACTATTAAAAGTCCATTAGTTATTTTTTTAAATATTTTATTTTAAATTAATTAATTAATTAATTTTACAATTAAAAAAATAAATAAAGTTAATTAGTCAGACAAACAGATAATCCCTTTAACAATATGCTATGCCGGTAATGGAAATGTTATGAATTAATGTGAATTTCAATTCCTTTACTTTTCACAGCTTGTTTCCAGTCACCATCCACTCCGGCATTCAGGAAGAATATAGTGTTAATATTGATTTTGATACTGTAAGTGTTTGTCTCAAATACATATCTAAACATTATGCATTCCCCTGCTGTAAAACTGTGTGTTTGAATGATTGCCAGCAAGTAAAGTGGCCTGGATCAGATTTAATCTCTTCACACTGTGATGTCAGCACATGGTGTGGATCTGAGCTACCCAAACGGCAGTGTGGCTTGTGTCCAGTTATCGACTTTATATTGACCTCTAATGCATCTGAATCCTCCAACCTGAGACTGGATGAGTGATCCGAGATATTCCACCCACCTCTACAGGGTCAGCCAAACTCTTAAAAGTACCCAGGTCTGTGTTTCAGGACAGTAACTTATGCATCTATTTTCCTTGTGCAATTGAATGTACAGTACAGCAATACAGAATACACTACACAGTATGATAAAGAATAAGAATTTAGAGTGAAATATGGTACATTATAGTGTAAACCTATTTTTTTGGGGAACAGACTCCAAACGTTCTATGAATGTTTTCTTCAGGTTCTATTTTTTGTAGTGTAGAAATATTCCAGGAAACACAGAACATTCCCCTAATGTTAGTGGACGATTCTTGTTTGGTTATTTTTTGGGGAACCAATTCCAAATGTTCTCTTTAGATCCTATCTGTGCAGTATCCCAGCAAACATGGAATGTTCCCCTAATGTTAGCATATGGTTCCGGTTTGGTAGTTTTTGGAGGAACAAACTCCAAAAATTCTAAAAATGTTCTATTTAGTTTCTGAATGCCTGGATAATGACTAAATAAAGGTGCTCGCAAACATCCAGCCTTGCCAAAGGTCTATAATAACCATGCTCAAATACACCAGCGTTAGTCTTTAGCTAAAGTTTCCACACACATTCGAATGGCAGAAGTCATTACTCAAAAACAAACACACACTCTCTCTGTTCCTCAGGAACACCGTTAAAAATGAATAACGGAGCTGCTGCGGCATGAGATTAAAGATTTAGCAGTTTCTAAATATAAATTATGTTCCTTTTAGTGAAATCCACTCTGTTTTAGACGTCTCGCGCCAGCCGAATTCAAGTCCTCAAGAGGCCATTCTCAAGAAACACATTGACAGTCTATAAAACATCCATAATCTGTGCAGTCATTCATTGTCCTGCAGAATCCCGTCGGACACACTAGAAGTTTTCACTAAAAAAACCACACGTTGTCTCGGGAACAACATCTACATCTTAATCATACAGCAAACTTTAGGGGGGTTAGTTGTACCACATGCAGTGCATCTTGGGTAACAGGCAAGGATTTATGGAGAGTTGTGTATCTGTGGAACGCTGAAACCATTCCCTGCTCATTAAGAAGTCATATTTATGCTGATATTCATGTGAAGTCAGCAGCTTCTACAAGGAGTGCTGATACTGCGGCCAGAGCCGATCATGAAAACTATGAAGCTCGTAAAACCGTAGGATAGGATCACAATGATGCATCATGTGTATGAAGGATTACTGTGGGTAATTCAGCTTCTGTCTTATCATTGATGTAAAAATGACCAACAAAACACTTTGAATGGATATTGACTTTCATAGGCACATCACAGAACGCAATTTTGTGCAAAAAAATATCGCTAACTGCTGCTAACTTAACTAATTTATGTAAGTAGGACATATTTTTACAGTTTCTTAAAGCTGTTTCTTCAGATGTATTTACCAGGCTGTGTCTCTTAATGTCATTTATTAAATAATTTATTATATTTACTATAAATTATTGTTCTGATAAATTGCGAAATTATTGTAAAACATTTTTGACATTCTTTTTTGCCTTTATTTGACAGGACAGTAGAGGTGAAAAAGGAAACAATATGTTTGTCATGTTTTGTGAGCAAATGTGATTTGTAGGACACAAAATTTGGCGCAAGTATTCAATTTGGTGCAATATTTTCCATTACAGTACATTATGAGTTAGGCAAGTCACCTGAACTAAAATTGCGCTATTTATCATCTCTCATAAAGCTACGGCACCGAAATGTTGGTCTGGTAACGTTTTTACCTTTACTTTATTTTTGGACTTTATTTGATACCATTCCGTGAACCGTTTATTGATTGCTGTATTAGCATTTCACTATACAGGTGCATCTCAATAAATCAGAATGTCGTGGAAAAGTTCATTTATTTCAGTAATTCAACTCAAATTGTGAAACTCGTGTATTAAATAAATTCAATGCACACAGACTGAAGTAGTTTAAGTCTTTGGTTCTTTTAATTGTGATGATTTTGGCTCACATTTAACAAAAACCCACCAATTCACTATCTCAACAAAATAGAATACTTCATAAGACCAATAAAAAAAAAAAATTAGTGAATTGTTGGCCTTCTGGAAAGCATGTTCATTTACTGTACATGTACTCAATACTTGGAGGGGGTTCCTTTTGCTTTAATTACTGCCTTCCACGACATTCTAATTTATTGAGATGCACCTGTATTTGGTGAAGTATAAAATTTTTTTTTAAGTAATAAAGTACCATTACTGAAAATTATCGGCATGTAACATTTTATTTGACTTTTGTCGTTAACAGTTCTGCACATTTGTGTTGCGTTATGTCTGTTTGCGTGTTGTACGGATCATGCAAACCTGCATAATTCATACATTACTGTAATGAAAAATATCGCAACACTGTTTTTGTGCCTACTTTTGTATTTTACAGTCACTTTGAGGAAATGTAGCTCAAAAAACCTGACAAACACCCATTCTTGCAGGTTATGAATGTTACGAGAACATTCAAGAAAATTTGCGTAACATATACAGTATTGAAAAAAAAAACGTGTTTGTGTTTTCCGTATTTTACAAATCAGCATTTGAGCATATGTGGCTCAAAAAAAGCTGATACACATTCCAGTAGGTTATGAATGTTTGATTTACGAAAACACATGAGAAAATTTGCATTACCCGTACAGTATGCTAATGAAAAATATTGCAACATTGATTTTGTGTTTACTTTTGTATTTTTCAAATCACATTTAAGCATATATAGCTAAAATGACAAGCACCCATTCTCCCAGGTTATGGATGTTTAAACACATGCAGTCTAACACAGTGAACGAACATGCTGCTGCTATGCGGCAAGAACCATTTTGTGACACTTATTCTCAGATGTATCAGTGGCGCATGGTGTGTAAACTCATTGAAGATCTTGTCCTTGGAAGCTTTTGCTAGTCTCATGGATCAGCAGCACAAACAGATGTTGATTAAAATAGATGTTCATGGTTTGTTGTGTGTAACTGGACTTTCTACTTTCTTTTTAGGTGTGTCTTCTGTGAAAATAGGGCAGAATCTTTAGAGACGGCGAGTCGCAGAATGTTGAAATCCAACACAACAGCTGCTCTGAAAATCCTGTCTTCTGCTCGGTCTGTCTTTCTGCCTCGCACACACACACACACACAAGCATCTTCACACACAAACCAAAACAGGGAATGTGATCTAGTTTCTGTGTCAGAGCTGGTGAATAAATTTGCATGTTGTTATCACTTGCAGGACGTTTTCAACAATCTTCTGATACGACACAAGTCTGGAGTCGCATGAAAGACTTTTGACTGGTCAGTGTTGTTATGATACTACAAAAACGAAATACCTAAACTAATACTAGATTATAGATTATTAAGTTATAAATATTTATACAAATATTCATATTTAACATTTTCTAATTATGATTAAGTCAAGTTGCATACAGTCAGTAGCCTATATTAGAGCTGAGTCCAAATTAAGCTACATTTTAGACACAATATTGTCAATATGGACTGTTTTGTTCTATTTTGCCATTCATTGCATCTTCGATCAACACGGTGGTGTTTATTCTGGAATGATTCAGGCTTCTGAATGAATCAATCAATGATTCAATAAGCCATTCATACAACTGCTAAATTTGAAACTGCATACCAGTATGCTATTCTTACTATTTTTAATATCTTTTTTAATATATCTTTTTTTATAGTGTCTCATAGTAGGTAGGCTATATACGTCAGGCCTACTACAAAAGCTAATCTGACTGAAACTAACACTAATACTAAAACTAATGGTAAACCTTTGGCTAATAAATTAGCATTTAAAGCTAATAGATTAGGATATTTTAGTTGATATCAGTTAGTTAATTTTAATAGCAGTAGCCTACTCTCGCGAACACTAATAATGCTAAGACTAAAGCTAATAAAGACCTGATATCAGTTATGATAATAGAAAACTTAATCTAATATTGCCAACACTTGTGCTAAAATGAATGTTAAAGCAAATATATATAGATAGGCCTATTCCATTCCACTAGATATCCGTCTGACTCCATGAGACTGTGACTTTTTTAAGCCTTTCATCTATTTGTTCTCACAAACCTGTTTACTTGACTCACTGTGTTGATGTTTTAAAAAAACCAGGAGGCGCAGAAGAGGGCAAAGCGCCTCCACCTCTCTTCTCTCTCTCTCTCTCTCTATCTGTCTTCCATCTTTTATTTTTAGACTCGGGGCTCTATGGGAGTTGGCATGCTGGCTTTTACAGACTGGTAGTGCTGAATGCATTAATATGAGAGCGAACTACCCCTCCTCTATCTGTGACCTCTCCTCGCCAGTGTGATATTTACATTCTGTGCCTAGCGCGAGAAAAATGTCCACACGCACACGCATACTAAATTCGTTTTCTTCAGTCTGAAGTCAGTTAACTCTTCAGGAACTGACATTTAAATACATTTCGCTGGTCCAAATAGGGCTTATTTCCCGCAATGGAGAAATTTCTGGACGTGTTTATTAGGTTTGGAGGTATGTGAGCGCATTTGTCCGTGTGTGTGTGTGAAGCAGAAGACACTCTGTCGCTGACAGCGTGTTAATTGGCTGCGCTGGAAGCCGCGAGACATCTGGGAATTCAGCTCTCACAGACTGGTATATATTAGACCGTTTCTCTTCTTCTCCTCCTTTACTTCCATCCTTCCTTCTTTCTGCCTTCATCAGTTTCCAAACGCCTCTAAAACGTACACAAACCCTCGCCAGCCGCACACACACGTTCGGTTCCTTCGGGCTGACAGGAGTAGCGCAGCCGTTAATGAAAAACCAGCCGTCCCGCTTACACTTCAGATAGCGTAGCATCACAAGTGCTTCAGGGAAGATAGCGAGACTCGGATCGCCTAATCAGACACTTTATCTGAACCGGTTAAAACCATAATCCAGCCATCAAATATAGATTTGATCTTCTCAAAACCCATACTGACCCAAATGCACGCCACCCAAACATAACGCTGGTGCTCTTGAAGACTTTGTGGAAGTGGAGATGGGATTTTTATAGCTTTTAGCGCATATTTAATGAGGGCTCTATACGCTAATGTACTTCTAAACAGTGTGGCAGACGAAAAATGGGTGACAAAATCACACAGACTTACATTAAAGAGGGTTAAGAGTCATTTATAGAGAGTAGGATATCATAGAGACTTGGGATGGACTTGGGCCAGTATAAAACTATCTAGCAACCACCCTAGCAATAAAACAGCTATACCACTAGTGCTGGGTAGATTACTTGCAAATTGTAGTCTGTTACTCCAAATTACATTCAAAATTGCATGACAGATATTGTTGTAGTAACATAATCTATTTCATTACACACTTTAGGTAATATAACCAGACTACTTTTTGATTACTTTTGATTTAAATAGGATAGTCTTGAACCATATTGATATAAAAATACAAAAATAAATAAAATGGAGTGCATTAAACATTACATCATATCAAGGTTTCCCTTGATAAAAATGAATCAAAAGCTAATAATTAAATCATAAAAATGTAAAACTAAAATAAATCATTTTGAAATAGCAACAATCAAAATAAAGCACTTACTAAAAAAGATGAATGCGACCGTTAACCAATAGCCTATAGAGAAATGTCAACATGCAAATGTGTTATAACTTATTAATTAATTAATTAATTAATTAATATATTATGTGAAAGAGGTTCGGCTGACAAAAAAAAAGTTTGGGAATCCCTAAATAAGAAATAAATAAGAAATAACGTGTAAATAAGAAATAACGTGAATGTGTGCATTTTAATGTGTTTGAACGGCAAAAGCTTTCCATAAATTATGAATCCATAAATTATGAATAATTTATTGTTATTATGTGAATAATAGGCTAATAGTGTAATCAATAAAAAAAGTAACTGTAGTGTGATTATGAGTATTTTAAAATGTAAAATAATCTAATTACAAGTACTTAATTTTTGGAATCTGATTACGTAATCCAGATTACATGTAATCAATTACTGCCCAGCTCTGGTTACCACCCAGAACACCCTATCAAGCAACTACATAGCAATCACCCAGAGCATCCTAGGAACCACACAGCAACTCTCCAGAACACCCTGACAACCTGCATGGAGATCAAGATGGGATTTTGTTGCTTTTAGTGCATTTTTATTAACTTGGAGGACTCATATCACATGGCTCTCTGGAATACTTGATTCTGATTGGTCAGTCACGACTTTCTGAGGTGTGTTATTCACCAATAACAACTGTTGTCATTAGCAACGCTGAATAACACACCACTCATCTGGGTATTTGAGGCTGGCGCTTCTTTCACATCTCTCATATCACACCACCACTGCTTTCGTCATTTCCTTCATAAAAATATCAAACTAATATAAAAAATAAAACAAATAAAAAAAGATGTTTTTTTTTATTTGGATGCATCAACTTGGTTTTCAAGACAAGGTCAATTCCTTGAAAACAAAAATGCCGATCAAATATTTTGTTTTCCGACATATGCTTCTTTATACAGTATAGCAATATTTGCTAGTAGTTGAAAAGTTTGTGTGTTTGAATGTCTTGGAAGGGTTAAACAGGAACAAGAAGCGAGTGTACTGGAGAGGCTTTCTGTCAAGTATTTTTATATTATGATGCTAAATGCTAATGCTAACACTAAATCATATCTCTTGTATCACTTCTGCAATCCTGTCACATAATATAATAATTTCAACTCAAATCAACATATTTCAATTTATGTAGGATAATTTTAAGTTAACTGCTCACAAAATAAACCATTTTGTCAATGAAATGGTGGTTGTTCATGCCATTGCTAGCTGCTAAAGCTAGGGTGTTGCTATGCTATTGCTAAGGTTTTCTGAGTGGCTGTTAGCGCATCGGTTGCTATGGTGTTCTGGCTGGTTTCTAGGGTGTTGCTAGGTGGTTGCTTAATAGCCCAAGTCAAAAGGCCATTAGCAAGCACCACAAATAAATGCAGAACAAATCAAAATCCTCAGATAGTTATTGTGTTTTTCACAGGTTAATTTACCAAAACAATTAGCTCTCTCTCTGGCATTTGCCCTTACCCGCTGTCTGCAATCATTTCATTTCCTTTGACGCCAAAACATTGCCATTACAGATAGATTGAGACGACTAAATTACAACATCCCTCAGGCTTCGCTGCTCTAGAGTTGCTATGTGACTGAATCTTCACAGCCTGGCAACGTGTGTCCCAGAGTCCCTGTCCAACTCTGGAAGTGTAAGGTGAGTCATTTTGATCCCGAGGGACGGAGCACAGAGCAAGAAACCATTCCCTCAAAATCATACATCAAATCCAGTGCGGGGCTTCTCTTAGCTGCTCCAAGATTAAACCACATGGCCAGGAACCAGTCTACAAAATAATTAAGCGCACTTTGTGCTGAGAAAACAACAATAGTCTGCATAAGGCCATCTTGAGTATCCCAGCTTAAAGATTTAACAGAATATTCGGGGTTCATGTTAAGCTCTATCAAAAGCATTTGAGGCATAATGCCGATTAAGCCTAAAATGTCCCTCAGATCTTTACGGAAATGTAAGGATGAGTTTACTGCATTTTGGGATACAGTATTCTAGAAAACAGCAACTGTGATCCAGGTAGGGATATGCCGGTATCAAATTTTCATGTTGCGATTAATTGCTAATGCTTTTATCACGGTATGCGGTATTATCACGCTATTGAAATTTAGTTTTAAAAAGTGCTGTCATAATACAGTATAACAGGTTTAATAAAATTTTTCTTATAACAAAAATAACTGAACATTTAAATGCAATAAAGCAATACAGAAAAATGTATAAAGTCAAAAGTTTTACACAGATTAAAGTGCAAAAGAACTATAAAGACCAATAGGTATCACTTTACAATAAGACCTCATTAGTTAACCTTAGTTAATGCATTAACATTCACAATGATTCATTACCGTGATATATGCATTACCGAATACCGGCACAAGTCTAGATCCAGGTATTGCATGCATACTGAACATTCACAGTATACAGTCTATATAGTACAGAAATAGTAAGGATAGTATGCAAGTATGCTATTGAGAATGTAAAATTCTCTCCACAGTAGATTAAACGCTTTAAAACAAAAAAATGTATGATCACTTTTCTTTGACAGTTTCGCGGTTTTGTACCTCTGAGGATATTCTGTATTGGTAGCTGAGAATAAAGTGTGCTATTAATGTAATTGGTTTACGATGTTCCCGTGTGTCCTGTTTATCCTGTGCACTTTCTTTCAGCGATGATTATCAAAGTAATCTTGCAGAACAGCCATGGAGAAACTAGTCAAACCTGATCTTGTGTATCAAGCTCATGGCACTGAACCAAACTACACACCGCTGTTGGCTCTGTTCGGCCCAGAATAAATTTGTAAAATAATATGATATACTCACACACACACAAA